AAAAGAACAAAAACCCTAAAACTTTTAATAACTGTTTATTGATAACCTTGTCTCATACTAGGGTCATTGACAAAATGCCTGCCAATTTCTGATGTTGTTTTATTGCTCATCTTTCTTCCCCTCTATTGGTCACTTGACTTGATCTGTGAATCAAATCAATGTTTAGTACATGTCCCCTAACTGTCAGTCTTTTTTTTTTTGCAAAAGTTGATTCCTCTGAAACTCTGGTGTGTGGCTGTTCTGTATAAGAATTCTCTGCCCAAATTCAGCCAAATTGCAGCTTAGCCCAAACCAAATCTCCAAATCGCATAATATACTCATCCGCCAAGGTTACTTCATCACCTTCTCTACTATATTTTTCACAAATTCTAAGAGCATGCATTTTCTTGGCTTCAGAAGCAAATCTTCATGTGTGATTAATTTACATTTTCAAATCATACTCTCTGTAACTGTTTAAAGCATCTGCTCTTTCTCTTAGATTTTACAAATCTCTACGTTAAATTCAGTATATTTTTATTATATATAATTTCATTATCACAAGATGAACCCATACTATTTATTATATAGTCCAGCAAAGAGGCACTCATATGATTTAGATATCAAACAAAAGATAAACACTTTCCCACTCAGGAAACATTTTTTTTTTTAACATTATATTTTGCAAAAACACTATTTCCAAGTTCACTGTCCTTTATTTTATGTTACACATCTAATTGTATGGTCTTACTTGAGTTTCACAGCATCAAGATCATAATAAAATAATTATTTTTATTATATTTGAATTTCATTTTGCTATTCCATCTTTAGCAGGTCCATGTGAATGAGTATGATGCATTATGAAATTCTTTGGAGTTTTTTTATAAAGGTGTAACTAGAGAAACATTGCAAATGACTTGCATAAAATCAGATGAAGGAATCATCCTAGAAATTCATCAGGTTTGCTATTCACATTGAAAGGTAAGACTTTTTAAAGTTACCTATTAGCTGGACTTCCACTACAAGAGTGCTATTTCAAGGATAAGCTTCTACTTGTTCCTAACCCCTTAAGGCAATCTAAGTCCGTTTGTAATCTGCTTCCTCCTGATGGTCTGTCTATTGATCAACCAGTAAATTAAAAAAAATAAATAAACTCACCACTAAACTGGAACCAGTCATATATGTCAAAATATGAAATAAATACAATCAAGACAGTTTCATGCAGAAAATAGAAAATTAATGATGCAATGTGAATGGCTTGAACAGAGCAGCCACTTACATTTCACATTCCTCTTCAGCATTAAACAACATCTTGCAGTGGGCTTTAATGGTTTCTTATTTTTATGGATAGATCCCATTTGTATGTTATAGAGATTATGCTATGTAGGCTTTTGTTAGTGATAGATATATTTTAGAGATATGCGGTTTGTTTAATAGAATGTTACCTACAATACCTAAATATATTTAAGAGTTTGGTAAGGTAGGGTGAGTTTTGCGTATGCATTTATATTTCATATATGTACAGTTGTTTAAATTATCCTTCTGGAATAACTTTACACGCTGTAGCACTATTGATTCCTGAGGAACTGGACCCTTTTGTGATTTACATGGAAGGGTAGTGGCATCATTGTAGCAAGCAAGATATTGTCTTCAAATGGCCATCAACATTTAAGGCAACATTACTGCCAGGAGAGCTGGGCATCTATTTGTCTCTTTCCTCCAGGTTTGAGTTGGTATATACTGTATAATGAATCTGTGAATTAAGTACCACTTGACCAAACTATATAGGAGGTGAGCAAAAGTAGGAACAGCAACAATACGCTTTCTTCAACCACTAATGGACATTCTGCCACACATTTGGGTACCCTTGCATCAAGCTACACGTTAAAAGCAGAGCAGAGCAAGATTAACCATAAATTGATCTTAGGCAGAACCTTCAATTTGCTTGTCCCCATTCACTATTCCTTTGTGAAAAATAGAAGAGTTTATCCAAACCAGTAACCTGCCTAGGGTCCTGTGGCATCAGATCCTTCTATGCACATGTTGAATAACAAACACCCTACTAAAATCAACCAGTGCCCATATAATTTCTGGACATATCATGCAGGAAGACATAAAATCCTCTATCTGGTCATAAAGACAAACGGTTTGCATACAGAGAATATCTGAACTTTTTGTAATCCATTGCTGCAATGGGGGGAGGGGGTGAAGTTTAATCCTAATCAAGATAGATTTCAGAGTTTCTTTATGAAAGCTTACATAACTAAGTTTCTACCACACTCGACTCAAGTGCATTGTTAATTCATGAATTGTCTCAACTGTCTATCTTTTGAAACAATATTGAAAGGTTGGTGTTTAATTAATAAACTCCAAGACAATATCACATTATAAATACATATCAGCAATAAAAGGTGACTAGTGTAAAGATGCTATGGACGATGTTGTGATAATTATAATGTTAATTTAAGAATTGGAAAACAGGTAAATTAAATATACAGAGTTAAAAACTTTGTTGAATGTGTTATCGTACATTTCTTGGCTGTGTTTAATATCAATCTTAAAAATGAAACATGCCAAACACCGTTTCTGTTACTGATATTGTTCCTCATTTGTCACTTCCGAAAGATTTGTTTAATGATAAATGCTCATAAACTGGTATGTTTTAACTCTTCAGCACATTATGCATTAGCAGGTACTGTAACCCTTACTGAACAGGTTGCATTACGTGGAATAAATGCTTGCTTTGCGTTTGGCCTATTTGATTTTGAATTATGCAAATAACTAACAAACTACTAAATATTTTTTTACAATTAAAAACTGTTACATAGGAAGCATTCTTATAGTTGTGTAAGAAACTAGTCTAGACTTTTTTTTGAGAAACCTAACAATCAGCAATTGGTTAACAAGGTGGCATTAGTGCTACTGTAATACAATGGGTAAGTCACAGGTGGGCATCACCCAGTACCCACAATATTTACTTGCAAGTCTCATGGAGTGACTTCTAATCAACTAGCCTGAACAAAAGTGAGATAGTATAATACCAAGAAAAAACATTGCATACTTCTGTACTGTCCTGTTATAAAAGGTAAACATGCAGTGGGGAGCCTATAATGGTTGCATGCAGTAAAATTGTTTCATATTTTATGTACATAACCGTATCTCCCACCAACAGCAAATTAAAGGAATACTCCAAGCACCAATACAAATTTAATTCATTAAGCAGTTATGGTGTATAGATCATGCCCCTATAGTCTTACTGCTTAATTCTTTGACATTTAGAAGTTAAACCAAACTTGCTATGCTTATGCATCCCTGGCTACAAATCCAACGGCTGTGACTTACACAGCCTGCATTAAAACACAGTTTAATTTTCAATCACATGTGACAGAACAGTGTGTTTTTTCTTTAGAAAATGTTTCTTGCTCTGTAAATTGAACTTTAATCACACCCATGAGGCTTCTGCAGACTCTAGCAGACTATCAACAAAGCAAGAGATAAAACTATATCAATATAAAGATTGTCCATTAAAGGAAGTTTAATCATTCACTTCTCTTTACAGGAAAAGGTGTAGGAAGATTGTAGGCGACGTGTAATTATAGCTGCATAAGTAAAGTGATTTAATTCCTAAATGCCAAAACCACTCCCTGAAGCAAAAGTTCCTTTAGTGCTTATAGTGTCCCTTTAAAACCATGAAAAAACAAGCATAGGGTCACTGGGATCCTTATTTACCCTGTGAAAGGTCTTGTGTCATGCACTGACATGAAGGCTCAATTAGCTCTACTTTACACAGGGAACCATCATATCCATACAGATCTATCCATCCACATGGAGCCACTAGCAAATTACTACTCTAGAAGATAGGACAGAGGCAATGCGAAAAGCCATAGATCCTTGCAGAGCATACAAAGAATGTATTAATTGAATATAATCATGATAATAATAATAATATTATTATTATTACAATATGCCTAAAATGTCAATTCTTTGTTGGTCAACCTTTTCTCAGCTTGTGCACAATTGTAATCATTAAAGATAAAAATACAATACACACTTCTTATTGAAAAACAAAATCGCAGCAGTCCTTAATAGGTTTTTATGCAGCAAAAGCTAGTGAAGCACTGCTCAAAATGGACCTATGGATACATCACCACTGCTGCACAAGAGTGGCTGCAACACCAATAAACTGATCAAGACTGCAACATTCTGGAAGCAAGACTTTATAATTCTAAGCACACCATACATAAGTCTACTTCCAAGCATTGGTCCAGGAAACAGCTTTATAATAGAGCACATCATGTTGGAAAAATAACAGAGAAAACATAACTAAAGATCAGATATGAGTGATTAGTGAATTTATTGATATACAGCTGCAATTGTGGGGGTATGAGGGTATGTAGCTTGTTAGTTACCTTGGATGTGTTAACATTAATGTTTTTTAGCTTGATAAGCTGTGATAAAGAAAAAAATATGCAAAAATCAAATGTTAGTGTTATAAATATACATTACACAACATGGATGTAAAGATTTTAATTTTGCATGGGTTCTCCAAAACATTTTGAAACAATACGATGTTCGTTTAAAATACTCTAATAAGAGTACTGATATAACTCATGTTTGACAATTAAATGATTCGTAAATGAAGTAGGGATCTTCAGACCTCTCTCACTTCCCCTGTCGACTGTTACCTAATAAGTATAGGTTCATATGTGAGAAATTAATATGCATTGACGACTAAGTAGACCTTGCTAGGTGCATGATTCCTGTCCCTCGTGGCACTGTGCAATCGTGGACATGATGTCTCCTGTGTGTTCCATAGATCCCCACTCATCTCTTGCTACCTGGCGCCTTATTATGACATCATATATGACATGGAAGCCTTCCACTGGTCTTTTTTTTGTGGCACTTTTTGATGTATACACACTTGTAACTTCATGGCCCTGTGTGAAGAATAGAGATGTCGCGAACCGTCCGCGAACTTCTCGCAAACGGTTCGCCACGAGCTGTTCGCGCCAAACTCCGGTCAGCTGACACATCCCGGCAAATCTCCAGCAGACCCTCCCTCCCAGGCCCTCCTACTTCCTGGGCAGCATCCATGTTGAAACATGATGTTGAAACATGGATGCTGTCCAAGAAGTAAGAGGGTCTGGGAGTGAGGGTCTGCTGGAGATTGTCCGGGATGTGTCAGCTGACCGGAGTTCGCCGCGAACAGCTCGTGGCGAACCGTGGCGAGCCATTCGCGAGAAGTTCGCGGACGGTTCGTGATATCTCTAGTGAAGAATCACATCCCACTATAGGGTTTGTATATTTCCTGCTTGTCCTTGTTTCCCTGCCCTCTCATGGTTCTTGTTACCTGAGAGTGCATTGGATTTACTGTTTGTTGATTTTGGTTTGTTTGACCATTCTTGCTCTCTGTTATCTTGACCTTGACTTGACTATTGATTCTATATATCTCTATTATCATAGACCTTGGACTGTCTCTTATTTACTTCTGACAGTTTACAGACATTTAATGTATCTGTTCTAGACACTAGCATGGCCACTCTAAGGACTGGTATGTGTTCCTTTACTGTTTCCATTAGGTTGGTGTGTTAGAGTATCTCCATTAATGATACTGGAGTTTTATTGTGGGATTCCACCATTATGGTCCAGACAGGTGGACCTGGCCTTTTTAGCCCACACTTTCTTTGGTAAATCTTTCCTTATTGTAAGTCTCATTGTACAACAGTTTTGATAGCATTTAAAGGTTGGTTACTGGTATAAACAGCCATGTCTGAAATCTGTATCCCTCATTACACGTGAGATAGAAAGAAAATGCCTAATAAATGAACATTCTAGGCAGCCAGACCACTTCATCTCATTGAATTGGTCTGAGTGCTGTGTCCCTGTCCCACATAGTCCTTCAATGTAAATCATTGCATTTTTACAGAAACTGCAATGCTTACACTGCAGTGCTAATACAGCATCTAGTGGCTGTATACCATTGTTTTTACTACATTGTTTGCTCTGATATGCATCTATAGCAGTAAAACTGTATTTAGACAGGTGTCTGAATTTCCAAATCATGCCCTATCAATTGAATTTACCACAGATAGACTGCAATCAAAGTGTAGGATCATCTCAAAAACAATCTAGAGAAATTGGATACATCTGAGCCAAATTTCAAACTTCATAGCAAAGGTCTAAAAATAATAAAATAATATTAGAAAAAATCTTTATCATAATGGAGTCTTAAGTGTAGATTGATGTGAAAAAGAATACTTTCTGAATGCACTGTATTTTAGGGCATTCGTTTATATTGGCTAGTTAAGTTTAAGGCACTTGACTCCTCAATCAGATTATATATTACACATTTTAATCCTGTCTACCTTACTAGTTGCCTAACAAATATATAACTAGGAACCTTAAAACCTATGTGCATTACAATTAATAGTAATTGTCTACAAGCATGTGTTGCAGATGTTTTTCCATTCTGAAACCGGATGCTTGCCTAGCAGGGGAATCATGTTAAAGGACAGGTACATAAGGCTGCCAGATTCCATATGGAAAATAATATATAAACTGAGTGAATTATTCTTTACCTACGGATCTGCATAAATCCAATGCATTTAAGTCTGATGTTATGCATTATTAATAAGTGTAATAATATTTAATTGTAATATTTCCTCTGGAAATCTTTTTAGAAACTACTGTTCTTGAAAAGTAATGGAATGCCGATTAAGAGAGGAAGTAAAACAAAAGATACATTTTTCATAATTACAAAAGAGAAATCAAAAGTGTAAACATAAAATAAGATCATTTAATATGTAATTTTTACAGGGTTATTCACTAAAGTGTGAATTAAAAGTAACAACAACCGAAATGGAATCATTCTTTGTCAGCTGGGTTTTCAGTTCAACTATTTTGGTCTTAAATTTGACTTTGAGTTTACTTTGAATAATTACTATAGTGAATAACCCTGTAATTGTAATGCGCCACCATTTTACTAACAGGCACATTTACTAAAGTGAAAATTTGCTGGGAATTCCAAGTAAATTTAAAGGAACACTATAGTCACCTAAATTACTTTAGCTAAATAAAGCAGTTTTAGTGTATAGATCATTCCCCTGCAATTTCACTTCTCCATTCACTGCCATTTAGGAGTTAAATCACTTTGTTTCTGTTAATGCAGCCCTAGCCACACCTCCCCTGGCTATGATTGACAGAGCCTGCATAAAAAAAACAACTGGTTTCACTTTCAAACAGATGTAATTTACCTTAAATAATTGTATCTCAATCTCTAAATTGAACTTTAATCACATAAAGGAGGCTCTTGCAGGGTCTAGCAAGCTATTAACATAGCAGGGGATAAGAAAATATTAATTAAACAGAACTTGCAATAAAGAGAGCATAAATAGGGCTCTCTTTACAGGAAGTGTTTATTGAAAGCTGTGCAAGTCACATGCAGGGAGGTGTGACTAGGGTTCATAAACAAAGGGATTTAACTCCTAAATAGCAGATGGTTGAGCAGTGAGGCTGCAGGGGCATGTTCTATACACCAAAACTGCTTCATTAAGCTAAAGTTGTTCAGATGACTATAGTGTCCCTTTAAAGTCACTGTAATATTTCTGACCAAAATAGCTTTATTGAAAGCATACCCGACTTGGAGAATTTTTTAAGTTAAGCTATTTTGGTCTCAAATTTGAAATTAAATTTGAGTTCCCTACACTTCTCACTTCAGTAAATACCCATGTAAGAGTCTGTGCCTTTGCTTTTCTCCTTTTTCTTCTCTCAAGTCCAAAGTATTATCAACAAAAACACATTATCCTTACACTTATCTGATGTATACAAAACACTATGTATCATTTTTTTTACAAGTAGAAATAGTAATATTGCCATGTTCCTCGGTGTCTGTATAAACTAGGGCATCAATTTGTGAATGTTGCCAGTAGTTACACAAATGGAGCTGTAAAAATACTGGGCTACAACAGAATGATCATTTCTTTTCCCACTGGGCTGTTATAACACAGGACGGCTGCACACCATGTTGAGATAATGAGACCATGGAGTTACAGTCTGTGATTCAGATCCCCAAATAGCAATCTTACAGCATCATCTAAAAAGTAATAAATGTTTCTATCAATATGCATAATCTACAGGGATGGATCAGTGAACAAACCACTAGAATGTATGCATCGCAAAATATTCTATTTACATTACAAGTCCATATTCCTGCATCCATGTTCACAATATACATTAGAAGAACTGGGAAAGTTCTTGAATATCTTGTTAGTTACCTTCCATCTGTTGGATATCTGAAATAAAAACCTATATTGTTAACCACCTTAGAGTATCTTTAAATAACACAACTAATCTGGTTAAGTATGTTGATATGTAATTAATTTTGATAATATATATCTTATATACAATATTATCTTCTTGTCAATATATCTGTTAGTTGTTGCTTAAATTGTATTCCAATCAATGCCATGCAGGTGCACACTGAATTATTTTCCTTTAAAGGACCACTCTAGGCACCCAGACCACTTCAGCTTAATGAAGTGGTCTGGGTGCCAGGTCCAGCTAGGGTTAACCCATTTTTTAATAAACATAGCAGTTTCAGAGAAACTGAAATGGGGTTAAGCCTTCCCCCTAATCCTCTAGTGGCTGTCTCATTGACAGCCACTAGAGGCGCTTGCGTGCTTCTCACTGTGATTTTCACAGTGAGAGCACGCCAGCGTCCATAGGAAAGCATTGTAAATGCTTTCCTATGCGACCGGCTGAATGCGCGCGCAGCTCTTGCCGCGCGTGCGCATTCAGCCGACGAGGCGGATCGGAAGAGGATCGGAGGAGGAGAGCTCTCCGCCCAGCGCTGGAAAAAGGTACGTTTTTACCCCTTTCCCCTTTCCAGAGCCTGGCGGGAGGAGGTCCCTGAGGGTGGGGGCACCCTCAGGGCACTATAGTGCCAGGAAAACGAGTATGTTTTCCTGGCACTATAGTGGTCCTTTAATCACAATGCCATGATTTCTTATTTTTTCACAAAGAGGAATAATAGCACATTAATTCGCATGTGTTTGTACTGCAGTTTTGTACGTGCTAACTTACAAGGACAAGTCAATTAATGCTTGATTAATGAAACAAGGATTTCTGACACCGCTATCTATTGTCCTTAGTTGACTTTTGCTCTGAGAAAATTCACCATATGCTCTGACAAAACTGTCACCTTGAATAGTCCTTTGACTTATGTGAGAAATTCATTAAAAGTAACAGTTGCTGAAATTAAAGAACATTCACAAATCTTATTTAAGAAATGTACACATGTCAGAACAGAGATCTATTATGGCTCATTTGAAAATGTTAAAGAAAATATAATTCATGCATAGGTTTAGTCTATTTTATTATGGTCATGCTGAGACTGACCCTAGAAAGAATAAAACTATTCATATTAATTTTATGTTGGCTTTGGGAAAGGTATTCTGTCAGCGTTTGTCTCCTAAACTTATGTCTCTCTCGCTTATTCCCTCCTGTTTGGTGTTTTCTTCCCTTCCCTCTGTGTTTGTGAGTCTCTCCTTCTTCTCAGATATTAACATTTGCAACTTACTACCTTCCTAACAACCCATTTAGTGGTGTAGCTGATGGTGCTATTGGTAATGATCACATTGTTATTTTCTCCGTGGCTCTCATCGTGTTATCCTTCAAGATATTCTGCTGGCAGTACTGTGCTTTTGCTTATTCGCCTCAATTAGGGTGCAGGTGAACTAAATGTCTGGACAGATTTAAAACCCAACAGCATACCTTTTGTAGGCATCCTATGACATAGTGAGTAGTCCCACAAGGCCTACAACCATCTTCATATGCGTATTTCACCCAATGGTCAAAATACCTAGAGCTTCCCTCAGTGAAATAGTTTTGGCTTCTCCAGTCATGGCCCTTCTTTCCTGCATGTTGTAATTGTAACTGAAAGGCCACTCCACAACATTGTTGCAATGGCTAGATAAACCATGGCCAAAATCATAGGCAGTGCCCCTCAAGCCACTAGACCATAAGGACTAGTGGTCTGCAACCACTGGTGACTGACCAGATAGTTCTTCCGCCACTTGGCACTACTCATTTGGTCAGTGCACATGTTTTATTAGGGATAGGGGAGGGTAACAGTGTTACATAATTTTAAACCACTTTATCTTATTCTATGATGTATTTATTAATTTAA